AGGTCTTGTATAGACCATTGCTATCAGGAACATAATGTAATTAAGATAACGGTGTGTTTTGAAGTCCTTTACTGAGTTTGTCTTGCTGAGACTTTTTTTTTTTAATGTTTCTCTAAAGAACCTGAATGTTCTGCACAGGATTATAATAATTTTTATATAGTCACTTTATCTAAATGTAATTTTATGTTTTAACTTTTGTATTTTCTTTAAAGATACCTATTTTAGCACAAAGTAAAGACATTCTGTCCTAAGAGTATTAATTTTTCATATACTAAAAATACAGAAATATATAGTGTGAAGTAGAGATGCAATTTTCTGTTTCACATTTTTAAATTATAATTAAAATATACTACATTCCTCCTCCCTTCCCTTTGTTCTCTTCATTCTTTCCTATGTCCCCTCCTGCTAACCCCTTCATGTTACCGGCCTCTCAAATTGATGGCCTATTTTTTTATTGTTACATATATATGCATAAATATGTAGATATTCACTTATATCTTGGCATTAATCAAGAGCTGTTTACTTGGACTTCAGGAATGCTTAAAAGTCACATTTTCTGTTTAGGAAAGCAATGTGAAATGTAGAGAATTGCCTGAAACATCAGTGTCATCATTATCCTAATAGATCTTTTAAAAATGGTTATAAAAACAAAATAAAAAACTTCTAAAATCTCTGATTCTAAATTTGTCACCACAAAGTAACCAAGTATTTTTAAGTTCCATTAATGATAATATCTAAAGTTCTGTTAAAATTTTATGATGTGATTATGTGCATAAACTATTTTAATATCACTCTTCATCCTGTTCAAAGTGGTTTTACAGATTTGTATCTTGTGTTTAAGAGATATTAATTCACTGCATTTCTCCTAAAATATTTCATTTAGCGTGTTATCTCCATGATCAAATGAATGAATTGTTCTTCCTCATAGGAACAAAATCATCTAAAAACATAAATGGTAAACAAATAGTTACTCAGTTCACAATCGTGGAAAACTTTAAAGTTTTTAATAATGGTGATGGCTCTATTGAAATATTTCCAGGACAGAATACAAAGAAAACTATACATATTGTTGAAGTATTTAATGCAACATCTGATTCAAGAGAAAGACATTTTAAATTAAATTTAGTGTTACTAACTAGAATTCTGTGTAAATGTATGATATTTTAAAGATGCAAATAAATTCTAGTGAGGTTTTCTTAAACTTAATATAAAATGTTAAAAGTACTTTTTTAATGAACAAGTTGCATTTAGAATTCTAGCTTCATCACCTGTGGCCATGATATCATAGTATTAGTCTTCCTTGTATAAGATATGTTACTGAGGAAGAAGAACTGTTGTATTAAATGTGCTCAAGTCAACACCTGAGAAATAATATATAATTCCATTAAAAACCAAGATATTCAAATGTTCAGAAAGGTATTACTATAGGGGAAAATGGACAAGAAAACAAGACAGCCCAAAAATATGAACTATGGTAGATGTTATATGCATCAGTACAACATTATTCATTTGATGGCTATTGTTGCCTCTTAACCAATTAGAGTATTGTTAGATAAATATAAAATTGTGTCTAAGGGTATTAAAAGTTTTGTTTGGAAAATAAAATTCAAGATAATACATAAATCCAGCAGGTAAGCAGTACATAAATTGACTTCACAAAAATTAAATTTTTGCCTATGATAACTAATATGCATAGTAAAAATAAGAGAAAAGGAGAAATGTTTTTTGATATGTAGCCCAGAAAGTTGCAAAGATTCATTATGTACAAAATATTAGACACTTTAAAGAAGAGAAAGCAACATAGCAAATAAATCTTTAAAACCTGTGAGATTAAGGAAAATATAAATTTAAAAGAGAAAATTAGCAAAATTAGTGTATTTGTAAAGATAAGAGTATTATTAGAACTTAGTGGTAAATTTAATTTTCTGTGTTTTTTCAGTGTAATTACTTAGTGGTAAAATGCTTTGTAGAGCAGTCTGATAGTAACTTTTAAAAACAGAACATATGCGTTTGATACAGTCACCCACCCATGCGTATTTGTCTACCAGCTACATATCACAAAAGCGTAGATATATTTGATGATATTAATGGTTGGTTTTGCAAGGAGGAAATGGGAAAAAATGCCAGGGAACAATTGCTCATCTCACTATTTTAATCTAGTCTGAACTACAAAGAGCAGCAAATAACTTCAAACAGAACTGCCTGAAAGCAGCTCACGTGGGTCTACAGTCTCACAGTATTCTACAGTCACATTTTCTTAGTGTGTGTTTTATCTCAGAGTAAGTTACTCAGCAGAGAGTATGAGGATTAAAAACACTTTATTGTAGTGGAAATTTTATATCAATTATTACATAGTCTTCTTAAAAGCAGGAGGAGGTGCTGGGTTTGTCTTAGGAACAGGGTGGGAGTGAAAGTGCACCCACCCTTGTTTTCTTTCTTTCTTAAGTAGTAGTGGAAGAGAGGAAATGAAAACATAATTGCATAATTTATCCTTGGGAAATAAAATTCACTGGTCATTGGTGCTAGCTTCTTTTTATGTCATAAGCTAGAATTTTGCTGACACAAATTAGAATCATTTGGAAGAGGGAAATTCAATTTAGAAAATGCCCCACCAGACTGGCGTACGGACAGGGCTATGGGACATTTTCTTGATTAATGATTGATGTGGGAGGGCCTAGTCCACCATGTGGGGCCACCCCTGGGCTGGTGGTCATGGGTGCTAAAGGAAAGCAGTCTGAGTAAGCCATGGGAAGCAAATCAGTAAGCAGTACTTCTCCATGGCCTCTTCCAGTTCCTGCCTCCAGGTTCCTACTCTGAGTTCCTAGCCTGACTTCCCTCAGTGATGAACATAAAAGTTGAAAGGTGAAATAAACCCTTACCTCCTGAGTTGCTTTTGTTTGTCTGTTATCACAGTAATAGAAACCCTAACTAAGACAGCATCTCTTGAATGGATGCTATTTTATCATAGGTCTCTTGTTACTCCTTGTATGTTAGAACAGGTTCTTTGTTAAAGGTGACCAGTACCTTTCAATAGCTTTTAATGAAAGTCATTATATTATTAGTTTATATGCTTTCTGTTTATAGTTTTGCATATAGAGTTCTGCTTAATTTCTCTATTAGCTAAAAATAATTGAAAAAATGATTGTGGAATGTTTGTTGGAAGCATGTTTATGGAAAATAAAATGTCAATGGATTGTGACTTGCAAAAGCAAAGGAAGATAAATATGTAAGAAAGTCTTAAGTACGATGAGAAGATAAAGAGGTGGTAGAAAAGAATAGATGGGGCTTGGAGGAAAGAAAGGAGATTAAAATCAGCATCCTTCACATCTCAGGTGACTGCACTCATGGAAGGCCTCTGTCATTTTCTTTTCTTTTTTGTTTTTGATTTTTATTGAGCTCTACATTTTTCTCTGATCCCTTCCCTGTCTCTCCCCTTCCCCCTTCAACACTCCCTATGCTCCCAATTTACTCAGGAGATCTTCTTTTTCTACTTCCCACGTTGATTAGATCTATGTAAGTCTCTGTTAGTGTCCTCATTGTTGTCTAAATTCTCTGAGATTATGCTTTATGTTTAAAAACCACCTATGAGTGAGTATGTCTTTCTGTGTCTGGGTTACCTCACTCAAAATAATGTTTTGTATCTCCATCCATTTGCCTGCAAAATTCAAGATGTCATTTTTTTCTGCTGTGTAGTACTCCACTATGTAAATGTACTACATTTTTCTTTTTCTTTTTGAGTTTAAAAAGGGATTTAATTTGTTCTGTACTGAGTTCCAAGAAAATACATGATGATATAGAGGACAGAGGTTAGGCTTCATGATTTCCTAGAAATGTCTTAGGAAATCCAAATAAAAAAACAAAAACTTGTCTGTCAAAGGTCATGCAGTATATTGTGTCCAGGGGGCAAGAACAGCCACCTCTGAAGCATGAAATCTTCTAGGTCTCTGTACAATCTATACTCAGTAAGTCAGCATAAACCATGAATTGAATCACAGTTAAATATAAACATGCTAGTATCTTGTTTTAAGTAATAAATAATATTTCTTTCAACTTATAGTTGTTTTCGTATTCTCTCTATTTTGACATTAGCTGCTATTCCATGGCAAGATAGATGCAATTTCTAGACCTTCTTGTCCTAGCTGAATGCCTCTGTCATTTTCTGTCTGCTGTGTTGTTACTTCTTTTAGCTAAACAATTAACTTGTCAATTAATTATGTACTATTTTATAATCTGTACTAAAATGGTCTATTATAAATTTAGGTTCTTAAGTCTCCCTTCAAGATTATAGTTTACCTTCTTAATTAGGTTTGCACTGTGTGGAGTCCTAGACTATTTCTTAAAAACAGGTCTTCTTTTACTACGTCTTGGTGATTGTTGCCACAGAGGTGCTCATTATTGGGGAAGGAAAGACAAGTGTGGCGGGAAGGTGACAGAAGAGATAGCATGGGGATGAGGAGAGAAGTAATGGACATGGCTGAGGATGTTTGTGCTCTTGTTTGGGAAAGGGATTTATAAACGTATTGAAATAACTTGCCTTGTCCCTTGACAGCCACTGAAAATGTCTGCATAATGCTGGGGCGTGAATAGTTTTAGTTTCTCTTGTTAACAGGCTTATTCAGTATTTTGAGATTTTTTAAAGACTGATTTTAAATTGAAAGTGCATTTTAACATTTGAGTTTATATGATAGGCTTATGGGTAGTTTCCATATATAAACATTCCACAAATACACATCTATTTTACTTTTTATATTTTCCAAATCTTATTTAATGATTATGAATAATATTTTAAAAATGAAAGAAAGTTGTATGTCTAAAATTTTGACCCTGTTATTTTAACCACCTAAGTGAGTTACATTTGAAATAATTGAGATGCAGTGTTCAAACATTTGAATGGTTGAAGGAAGATTCTCACATACAGTTGCATCTGAAGGAAAATGTGCTTTTCAATTTCAGATTGAATATATTAAATTTCCTTTCTGGTGTCATGCTTTTGATAATAGGACATATCCAAGTTTGCAGAAAAAGACAACACGGTTCTTGGAGAAGGTGGAATCACACTGAGTGGAGGTCAACGTGCAAGGATTTCTTTAGCAAGGTGAACATTTAACCATTGCTCTAGTGAGCATTTGCTGTAAATGATATGCATGTACAATTATATATATGCATTTCTCTACTGCTTCATGTTTTGTCTCTGGGGTTGACAATTTCTTTTAAGAACTATAAACAGTATAGTATTCAGATTCGGTAAAAATGGTAGCTTTTTTCAAAAATCATACTCTTATTTTTATTTGTTCATACTTGTTTGTTATGTTACCTGTATTGTTATTAACAGAAAACTGTAAAATTTTGAAAAGAACAAAGGGAAATTACAAATTTCTGTTCTTTCTGTTATGCATTCCCTTCCTCTCCCAGTCCCAGATGACGCTTTAACTTTCCAGTTTGCTTCTCACTGTGAACAATATACATTTTATACTTTTAAATTTTAGAATGTAACTTATGATTTTATAACAAAAATAGTAAGGAAAATGATGATACTGGGACTAAGACTTTTTGTTTTTTCTGAGACAAGGGACAAGGTCTCCCTGTGTGGAGCTCATGGTCTTCCTGCATTTGCTTCTGAGTGCTAGGATTACAGGTGTGTGCCACCACACCCAACTGCGGTTTACACTGAACACATGCCTTTATCTGTGACTCCGATTGTCATAAGGGTCATGTGAGTATTAAGAAAGTGCCCTGAGGACTTAGAAGCTGTCAAAAAGAAGCACATATAATTCTTGTCAGGAAGAAAACATCTTATTTAAGTGTAGTCTGTTCAAAGACAGTTGGTGGTAGGGGATGTCAGATGGCCTCTAGTTTTATTCAAACAAAATTCTTTTTATTGTGTTACCAAAGTTGTTAGTGAGAAATTACATTGAGTCAGTAGTATCTTGGTATCTTGGCACCTTTTCTTTCTTTTACTTCCCAAACCTGGAAAAGTAAAAAAGTAAACACTTTGTACCGACAACTGATGTCTTGATACTATTCTCTCTCTCTCTCTCTGTGTCTCTTTGTTTCTGTCTCTCTCTGTCTCTGTCTCTCTCTGTCTCTCTCTGTCTCTCTCTCTCTCTCTCTCTTTCTCTCTCTCTCTGTCTCTCTCTCTCTCTCTCTCTCGTGATATCAAGCCCCATACAACCCTACAAGCAGAAATTGTTCTCTACATTTTATGGAAGAAATCACAAGATAATTGAGGTAGTCAGACATTAACTTGCCAAAAGCCACAAGAAAAGGATACAGTCACTATTTAATCTAGGTCATCTTGACTCCTTACATTCAGCTATGCCTTGATCCTGAGAATACACTGGGAAACCAGATCATCTGATACAGAGAGTTCACAGATGAGATGATGGTTTTATAATCATTTGGAAGTTAATTCCTTATCTGGGAGCCAACAAACATATACGATTTAAGTAGAGTATGTTACTTCAGCATAGTATTTCTATTTACTAGTTTAAGATTTAGTCATATTTGCTATGTACTATGTGTAGTACTACTTAAAACATTTGTTCACTGTTATTCTCATCCAAATATGCTATCTTCTTTTGCATGATGAACACACACAAACATACACATTTGAGACACTATTCATACATGTGAAGGAGAGTGTTAGTCTGTGTGTAGTACTAATAAGCCCACCAATGTATTTTGAATATATTTTACAGAAACTCACTTTATTTTTGTTTTCATTTATTGTCTAAAGACAAGGAGTCAGCTCTGGTGATAATATCCTCTTGGCAGAGTCTTGAGACAGCGTAGAAAATCACATGTCAAGACAAGGAGTATGCTTGTGTGTGTGTGTGTGTGTGTGTGTGTGTGTGCGTGTGTGTGTGTGTATGTGAGTGTGTTTCTGTCTGTGAATGTGTGTGTATGTGTGTGTCCTCTCTAGAGTATCCCTCTCCTCATGAAGTCACAATTAATCCAATCGTGAAACTCCGCCTTGATGATCTCCTTAATCCTAGTCACTTTCCAAAGGTCCCATCTCTGAGCACCACATTGGACTAAGTTTCAGTCCTCTTGTAGAAACTCATAGTGGATTAAATTCAGGGGGGACAAATAACATTTTAACTATATTGCAGAGAAAAAAGTAAAAGCTAAATGTGGTTAAAGACAGCACATTTCTATGGAGTCCATTAGTTCTTTCATGTAGCCTTCTAGACACTTTACAGCATAAAGTGCTTTCGTGGTTTTATTTAGAATTTTTGCAATTTCTATTTTTGTTTCATTGCTTGTCTTATTATGTGATGATTAAGTACATTTTGAAAACAAAAGAATCAACAATTATCTTTTAAAGAATGACCTATGTAGCTGAGATAGAGATAGCATTATAAATAATCTTTCCTGAGAAAAATTTAAAGTTATAAAGAAATTACTTCATTTTTGTTTATTTGGAAAATATATCTTTATATTTTTACTATTGTTAAATCAAATAAAATTACTTAAAGGTTTTTATCTTTATCTTAAAGTAAATTAAAGGCTGGGGAGATGTCTGAGTGGTTAAGAGCACTGGCTCTTCTGTAAGGTCTGTATTTTATCCCAACATTTACATTGTTGCTTTCCTGTCATCTGTAATTTCAGTCCAGGGGATCTGATATCCTCTTCTTACCTCCATACACTCAGCACACACATGGTACACATGCATACAGGCAAAACAGTCAAACACAAAAGTTTTTTTTTAAAGTTAAGTTGCATATGTATTCCTTCTTATTCTGAATCATTGATCCTTACCTATGTGTGACACTCATGAAAGAGGTTCAGGGACAGACTATAAGGAGGAGATCCAAAGTAAATTATCTCATTATTCCTCATTTAATATAGTCGGCACTATTACTAGCATAGCTATAGAAGAAGTTACTAACAGTACTACTTCTGCCTCATGTTGAGAAAAGTGTGCTTCCAGTGCAGGAATCTGATGGCATTTCTATAACACATGTCAGGGGTTTAAAATATCAGTTCTGAATTAAATACAAAAAAAAATGGAGGGAACCCTAACTTCATTTCTGCTTTGTTTACAGAGCAGTATATAAAGATGCTGATGTGTACCTCTTGGATTCTCCTTTTGGATATCTAGATGTCTTAACTGAAGAACAAATATTTGAAAAGTATGTCCTTGACTGACTGAGTTATATATAATGCTCATGGTAAAAGATAACAAAATGTCTGTATCATTACAAGCTGCATATTAGCTCTAGAGCAGTGGTTCTCAATCTGTGGATCACAACTCCTTTGGAGAGTAAACAACCCCTTTCTCAGTGGTTGTATATCAGATATCCCACATATCAGATACTTGCTATTCCAAACACTAGCAAAATTACAGTAATGAAGTAACAATGAAAATAATTTTATGGTGGGATGTTACCACAACATGGCGAACTGTATTAAATGGTCATAACATTAGGAATGTTGAAAACCACTAGGCTAGAGCAATATAGCCACCATTTTTATGACTCAGAACAGCAGAATGTAACACAGTACTTACTCAGTTCTGGCCTCCCTTCATGGCCAACGTTGAAGATTGCTACTATCAAAACCTTTTCTGATGATCACTTGTAAAACCAATTTCTTACAATTGATAGTTAAGTACTTTTTTACATTATTGCTATCTTGAGACATGTCTTCCTGTATCTTAAGTGATTATATTTTTAAATGTTCACATATCTTTCTGTATTAGTATTTAATTTTGTGTTGTAGATAAAAATAATGATTTGTGTAATGGTGAATGCCCTTACTGTACATCTGCGTTAGTCCTTTCCTGGACCCAGCCCCACCTGTGTTACAGAGAACTGGGATACACACTTCCTTACAGTTCTTAGTAGAGCCCAGTGGGTATGGAGTCCCCATGCAGTTAGCAATATGACTTCATGGGTAACAGAGTACTTTATTAGAATAGATATTGCAGCCCTCTTGGATTTTAAGTGGTAGGAAATGATTTATGTGTTAAATGACTTAATTATTTATTGGTTTATTTCAAAGTTTTATTTCAGGACATCATCAATGGTTGAAATATTCTAGAACCTTGATTATTTTCTTTTATATCTTAAATGATATGTTTAATTCTGGACTTCATTACATTTAACACTTTGAGCTAACATAAGCCCCCTATCCTGGAGCTGCTTTTATTCAGAGACATTTTTTTGTTTGATATTTTCAGTTTATGTCTCAGTTGAATGGAGTATATTCGCATTGTTTTTCTAGTCATAATCCCAAGAACATGTCATCCCTGATCTCTGAATGAAATGCCAAGTCCCATCAACACGGTCTCTACTCTACACTTCCCAATCCCCAGTTTTGCTCATATGTTTCTGAACTACTCTATAGTGAAGTACATATGTGACAAGGCATCTGAATAGTGAATCTTCTCTTACTTAATTTTAATCTAATGAAAAGGATATAGAAGGCGCTAGTCATGTTTCTACTTCCCTTACAGCTTATTGCATCATCTCCTTCAGCCTTGCATCAACATACCTGTTATCTTGAGTCTCTAATGTGGCTCTGTAATGGACATTGCACCAATTCCCTGAGTTCATACAGTCAGAATGCTGAGTAACCATCACTACGTTAAGCATAGAACTCAGCTTAAGACAAACATTTTCTAAGCTCTTAATAAAAATATAAGAGCACAAACCCTTGAGTAGTGCAGAATGATACAGGTTCTGTGTGATACCTTAGCAGGAAAGGTTGCTGCAGAATTTTACATGACCGGTTCTTTTGGGTCCAGGGCACTGATTTCCTTTGCCTGGATTTCTTGTTTAGATCTTCTAGGACTTATTGTGCTGTTTTTGTTTGTTCAAGTTGTTTTCTGTTTTGCTTTACATACAGTAGAATTTAGCTTCATTGTGGGGAAAGAACCACTTTGATTTGGTTCTGGGACTTCTTAATGCCAGCGATATGGGCTTGTACCACAGTATTCCAATGTATTTTCCTTTTAGAAGTCTGTTCTTAGCAAGTCTCCCTAGTTTAAGACAGAAAAGAAAATCCCATTAAATGTAATACCCCATGCTATATATATGATATTGTAACTGTAGCTAATGTCTTACTCTCATAAAATTAGCTGTTACTGTTTATATTTAAGGATATAGTGATGGCTCTTATTTTTGATAACTAAGGGATAAAAGAAATTAATTCCCACTACAGAATACAATTTACCTTTAAAGTATAGGAAAATTTTATTGGAGGAAAGTTAAGTTGATTATGTATTCCTTAGTTGTTATATTTTGTTTTAAAACATATTAGTCAACATAAAATTCAAGACAAAATTAATTTAAAAATTAAAAACAGAAAATCTCTGACATTTTAGAAGCTATGTGGAAATATAAACTTTCAGGAACATAAAAGATCACCTAACAATTCCTTTATTTTCTAGAGAAATAAACCGAGAACTAAGAGAAAATGATTTGGTTAAAATCACATAATTATTGCTTATCAAAAATTGAATTTCTTTTTATGGCTACTAGCAATCACCTTTACAGCATGATACAATATTTCATGCTGCAATTCAAGAGGCATCTAATAGTTACTATGAAATATTTATCCATATAACCATATTAAGTAACAAAATGCCATATAAGATTTTATGCAATGATACATTAATAAGATGCCAAAATTAAATATACATCACTATTTATGTAGTAAAGTCTTATATATTTTTATATTCCCAAAGCTGTATCTGTAAATTGATGGCCAACAAAACTAGGATTTTGGTCACATCTAAAATGGAGCACTTAAAGAAAGCTGACAAAATACTAATTTTGCATGAGGGCCGCAGCTATTTCTATGGGACATTTTCTGAATTACAAAGTCTACGGCCAGACTTCAGTTCAAAACTCATGGGGTATGACACCTTTGACCAGTTTACTGAGGAAAGAAGAAGCTCAATTCTAACTGAGACCTTACGCAGGTTCTCAGTAGATGAGTCCTCTGTCACCTGGAACAAAACCAAACAGTCATTTAAACAGACTGGAGAGTATGGAGAAAAACGGAAGAGCTCTATTTTAAATTCCTTTAGCAATATGAAGAAATTTTCCATTGTGCCAAAGACTCCATTAGTCACAGAAGGAGATTATGATGAACCCCAAGAAAGGAGACTGTCCCTGGCTCCAGATTCTGAACAGGGAGAGGCAGTCCTGCCTCGCAGCAACGTTATCCCCACCGGCCCCACATTTCCAGGCAGAAGAAGACAGTCTGTTTTGGACCTCATGACATACACACCCACCCAGGGCTTTAGCAACATTCAGAGGACAAGGACTTCCATTCGAAAGATCTCCTTAGCCCCTCAGATAAGCTTAAATGAAGAGGACATATATTCAAGACGGCTGTCTGAAGACAGTGCATTGAACATCACTGAAGAAATTAATGAAGAAGATTTAAAGGTATGTACTCTCCACGTCTTAAGGTGTGCTCATCATCATAACTCTATAATTTTAGTGAATTTTGATGCATATTACATGTTCCATGGCATTCTGTTGCAGTCTCTGGGTCAAGGGTGCAAAGTCCATTATCTATGTAAGCAACTTCAAATTGTAATTGAAATATCACATTCCTCCAAAAGTGGTGAACCAAACAAGGGCTTAGTACTGAGTTCCTTTACTAGGCCCATAATATGGTGTTTGTTATTATAAATTAATAATTGTCTGCATTAGTGGTTATCTAGAACAAAATGGAGTAAAGTATATTATATAAGCAAATAGTTGCATTTGTGTAGACATCAAGAAGTGTTTCTAAACATGTATGGCCTTGATAAGGGTTGCAAATTCCTGGTTTCTTGACAAGAATAATTAACATTCATGTCTGAACTTAGTTAATATGCCCTTTCCAATATTTCAGATTTGTTTTATGTGTTATGTTTTGGAATGTTTTTTTCTTTTAAAGAACATATGCGAAGCTTAACATATATACACCAATACTCAGACTGAAAGACTGTCACTGTATGTTAAGGAGCAAAATGACTTTTCTTAAAATAGAGAGCAATGCAAAACAGGGGAGCTATTGTTTACTAAGCAATGCTTGTGCCTTAGATGGATTTAAAAATGGAGTCCTAGAAGATGAACACGTTTAGTGGTGCCAGTCTTTGATAGGAAGTTACCTTTTGGTCAATCACAAATCATTTCCTATCTCTAGGTCAGAGTTCACTGTGTTGTCAAATTAAAGGATAAGTAATTCCCCCCAAATATACACTCAGTATTTCTATAATCTTAAAATGATTTGCTAAAAGATAGTTCATCTGTAGGATTTAATATCCTTCTAAGTGAAACACCCAAATTGAAGTCTATAAATTTTTGTCACTCTGCATTGTAACGAGTGATTTCTTTGACTAATTATATTACCAGGTCATCAGTTACTTCAACTTCAGGCAGCCTGCGTTATCCCCTTCCCTGTGATGGAAGGTCATGTCCTTGCCCCTATTTGCAGAAAAAGAAAATAAAGTTCTGAGAAATTCAGCAACAGATACCCATTCAAGCATCCTAGGATGTTGCTTGTAGGCCTTGAATGCAAATAAAGGTCAATCCTGTTCCACAATCTAATTTCTAATCAGTGAACCTTCCTCTAGGTTAACAGGACTCCTTTGTAAGTCTAATGCCACTTGTGAACTTCATGGATTTGTATGAGGAGTAACCCCATCTTTTCCCTTTAGAATATATGAGGAATCTTTTTTTCCCACATTTTAAAAATCTGTCTTCCAGAAAAAAAAAAGGCTTCTAGAAAAATATATTTAGGGTTAGAATTTTGTAACTGAAGTTATAACTAAAAAAATCCATAATGCCTAAGGAATATGTAAACATAAACCAACTTTTCTTTTAAAAAATAAATGATATAATAGCTAGCAAGTTCCAAACTACACTTGACCATGGATCACCAAAACAACTTAAATCAAGGTAAGTTTGGGAACTTCAGTCTGATGGCACCAACCATCTGACAAGACTTGTTGTGCTAGGAAGTATTTAAATGCTAACGCTATTCTACAAGATCACTGTGTTTCTTAGTTTTCAAAACTAGCCATGAGTGTTTTTTTGTTGTTGTTGTTTTGGTTTTGGTTTTTCAAGACAGTGTCTTTCTGTAGCTTTGGAGCCTGTCCTGGAACTAGCTCTTGTAGACCAGGCTGGCCTCAAACTCACTGAGATCCACTCGCCTCCTGAGTGCTGGGATTAAAGGCGGGTACCACCACCACCCAGCAAGTGTTCCTTTATTTCTCTGAATTAAAAATAAGGCCTCAGCAGTGGGATGGAATAAGTTTGTTTCAAAATCATGCTTCTTTTCTCAGGAGTGTTTTTTTGACGATATGGTGAAGATCCCCCCAGTGACAACATGGAACACATACCTCCGCTATTTTACTCTCCATAAAAGCTTGCTTATAGTGCTGATTTGGTGCGTGCTTGTTTTTCTGGTTGAGGTAAGCATGTTTGCTTGTGAACTGTTACTGTGACTTTAAATCAAGGATTACATTTGTATGGGTGGGTTTATACATGTAAATACTTGTTAATCTATCAATGGTAGCTGCCTGGATAGGTCATGTTTTCTGAAAGCTAATGGTAGCTGGAGAGATGGTCCAGTGGGTAAGGGCTCTGGCTGTTTCTCCAGAGGACCAGGTTGGATTCCCAGCACCCGCAAGTGATTCACAATCGTGTATAACTCCAGTTCCAGGGAATCTGTTGCTCTTGTGTGGCCTCTGTGAGTACCACATATATGTCGTGCATAGACAGATATACAGGCAAAATACATATACACAAAAAAGTAAATTTAAAATTTTGTTTAAAAATTCACAATTAGAATTGCTATTGATATTTTAGTATTTCAGGCATAACATAAAATATACTTAAATACAAATACTGTATATGAAGAATTGTCATAAAATAAATTTTATTTGGCATATTTAATATATTCAACATATTTGAAGGTTCATACACATTGCAAAAAGGTTACTATAGCAAAGATAATAACACAACTGTCATCTCAAATAACTTTTTGTTTTTTGTGATAAGAGCCACTAAAATTCACACAACTAGCATTTTTCCCAAGTTCAGTATAGTTTTATTACCTATAATCCTCATTTTATTCATTATATCTTAATATATTTAGTTTTTAAGATCTGAAGGCTCAGACTATCCAGGAGTATTAATTGAAATTGAATGAATTGAAATTAAGCAATGAAAATTCTAGATATTAGTCTAATTATTAGTTAAACAGGTGGTGACTCATGGTGGTGATTCTTGTTCATCGGTAGCACCTTTGTCTCGGGCAGCTTCCATTGAGGGAGAGGCTTGGGTGCCTTCCACAATGACATAATGCCTTGATTGTATGTTGACCTGCTACACAAGTATACAATATTGTTCCTTCACTCTGTTACTTTTCCTGTTGCTATCATAAAACACCCAGTTAAGGAAAGGAGAATTAATTTTGGCTTACATTTGAGAGATATATTCCTGGAGCCTGGGAAAGTATAACATCAGGGGAGTAGGGCGATGCTCATATTGCATGCACACTCTGAAAGCAAATAAAAGGTTCAAGAATCTAAAGATTCCATAGCCTTCTTTAATTGTGCAGTAGCTTGAGACCAAATATTCAGATACATGAGCCTAAGGGTCATTTTAAATCCAAACCATCAACATTCACCTAAGATAAAAAGTCATCTTGTCATTGGTCAAGAAATTAACTATTGAAGAGAAGGCAAATGCCATGTAACTACCCTTTGTTCACTGAACTGTCATTATTACTAAAAGAAAGAAAGAAAAAGGAAAAGAAGGGAAGAAGAAAAGAGGGAGGGAAGGATGGAGGGAGGGAGGGAGGGAGGGAGGGAATTAGGGAGAGAGGGAGGGAGGGGAAGGGAGAAAAGGAAGGAAAGGGAAAGGAAAAAAAGTCATGTTGGGCAAAATTCAGTCATGTCCTCTTGGGGGCAGGAAATAATCTAATGGCATGATCTTTTTCCAATATCTTATAGACATTGACCAATTGAGTAACTTTCAAAGTGTTGAATAACAAGAAGAGCAGTAATAGAAATATAATAATTATAAAATGATGTGTATGCTTATATAGCTAAACAACTTATATGCTGATGTCTACAATTGTGTTTCTTTCAATCAAAATTTACATAGATTTTCCTTTAGACTAAACTTTTTCTTAGTATCAATCTGTGCATTTCTTTTGACTATTAGAATGTTTCCTGGTACATTCCATTATGGGACAGGTGCCAGTCCGCAATGATAGTTTAGTTTTTATAAGCACTGAGAGATCCTTATGTTTAATGAAAATAGCCACAGAAACATCAAGATACATATCCTCCTCCATCAAAGTGAGTTACCTAATTTAAACCTTAATAAAGGTTGTATATCCATTTATATTTATGATTTTATAGCATTCATTTAATGTGTTTTGTTTTTGTAATATGAAATAAATTTAGCAGTTCATCCTGTCTTTTCCTGTTTCTTCATAATTGCTAAACTAGAAAAAACCCTGAATATTTAATTTGCTAACATTTTTCAGTCATATGTCATCTTGGAAAAGTGTACATTTTATACATTTCCTCTAAAAACTATGTCTTTTATAAGTTCTTATTAATACTAAACAAATAGACTAAAATTTCCATTGTGCTACTCTTTCTAGTGGCCCTTCTTGACAGTGTATCCGGGACTAGAAAGGGAAAATGTAAACAGTGGATTAAGGGATGTTTCCTGTTTCCTTTACAATAACCTAAGGGTGTTTTGAGTGCAGCATCTGAAGATCCTGGTCACTGTTTTGTCTTACAGCCTTTAAGCCTACATCAGAGAACTGCTCTTTCTTTAGTTTGTTAATTAGGAGTTCATGAGTGGCTTTGTTTCAGTAATAAGATAGAGACAGGTGTTTCTATAATACTACCTTTCCTGTTCAATAATGGTAGTCTTCTCAGGGCATCTTATTTTTTTGTGGATGTTTAGGGCATTATTTGTCATACAAAATGCATGAAAATCTATGAATTAAAATATACTGCATTCCATGTAATAAGGCATCATGTTTAACCTCCTCAGTTTACTAATGGAAAATGACTATTATTTAGTTTGTTGCTGCTATAACTTAATCATCTAGGAGTGTCTCTCTTTGAAAATTCACATGAACGTTACAGCCTTGAAGCGTTCTAGAGTGAAATGATAGAGTTACTCTGTTGTTTCTTTCAACCTCAAAACTTTTTCCTAAAGGCCTCCTACCAAGTCTTCAAAATGCTTTTACTATTGTCAGTAGAAACAGTTTGGATTGATGAATTCACCTGACAGCCGGGAAATAACTTTACATTAGGATCTAGACCCACTCTTTAGAAGGGTTGTCTACTGTCCCATTCAGCGATGTGTCTCCCGGGATCTGTTTCTCTTCAGAGTGTGGGCAGTGCTTTTCTTCTAGTTGGAACATAGAAGGAGTGTAATAATTGAGTGTCTCAGTGCATGTGGCTTATCTAGAGTCTTGAGTATTTGTCTGAAGACAGAGGAGGACATTTGTATAAGAGCAAAGATTTTTCAAAAGACCACATTTTTGCTGGATTTTTTGTTGTTCTACATTTACTTGAGTCTCAAGAAAACAAAATTTTTCTTTTTTCTACTAAGTCCTTTCTTAACATGACGATTAAAATAATGCCATTCAATTTTCATTATTAAAACTAGTAAGATAAAATAAAATAAAATTTATTATTTAAGTAGCTGAGTCTTAACTTACCCCGATAGTGTCATTTAAAACAATTACTGTAGCTGCTGACTCCAGAAGTGCAAAGCCAAGACACTGATAGTGTGTGCACTGTGATGTTGGCCGTGTTGAATTTAGAAATGAGTGTGGGAAGCACAGATAAAGATATAGAAAAAAAATCAACTGTGGATTGTTCCATTCCAGGTGGCTGCTTCTTTATTTGTGTTGTGGTTGCTTAAAAAGTGAGTATTCCACACATTATTGTGGATTTTGTTTTATTTCCATTTGGGGATTCTAAAGTATTTCTACACCTGCTATGTTTAATTGTACCTACACATTCCTTCAAATTATGAGAAGAGAAAGACAAGTTACAGTCATTCTTCAGTTTCTGAGAGATGGATTCCAGGATAAAGATACTAAATTCTGCACTCAAGCCCCATATGTAGAATTGCATACTATGTGCATGTATCCCATGCATGTCACCACATCTACTTTAACATAGCTCTAGGTTTATATGATGCCTAGTATAGCGTAAATTGTATGCAAGTGTTTGTTATAGCACACTGATGACAAGGAAAATAAATACATACCTGCTCAGTAAAGATACATTTTAAGAGCCTTTTTCTCATTCCACTAGTAACTAAATCCATGGATGCTCAGGAGATCCATAAAATTTCCTGAAGTTGTTCAAGTTGAAAGCTATTTAGTGCCTTCAGCTCTTCACTTATCTTTTAAAAATTAGTTGTTTTCTGTTTCCATGAAACATAATAAAATACATAAAGGAACATTTTATATTTAATAGTTTCTACTAAGTATTTGCTCAAATCAGTATCAACTGCATCTATTTCCATTATCAGAAAACTTAAAACTTTTTGGTAAGACAAAAATTATAAACCTACAGGCATAGTCTCTTTTAAGTCCATAATTCATCCTTTATACTTTTATTATGATTCAATTACAAATTTGGTTGTAAAATAATAACCATTATTTTTTTGTTTTACAGCAAACCTACTCATGATGGAACAAATACTACTATGGCTACAAATAACACCTATCTTGTGATTGTCACCCATACCAGCTTCTTTTACATTTTTTACATTTATGTGGGAGTGGCTGACACTTTGCTTGCCTTGGGCCTCTTCAGAGGTTTGCCCCTGGTGCATACACTAATCAAAGCAGCAAGAATTTTACACCAGAAAATGTTACATTCTATTCTTCACGCACCAATGTCTACCTTGAGCACACTAAAAGCAGGTAATGTGGATTGTGTGTCTACAGTAGAACTCCCTGCGCACTTGCTGTCTAACAGCAGCACGGGCTTGAGCACAGGCCTCTGCCCCTTCCTCTGCTGCCTCCTTTCACGTTTCTCAGATATTGTAGGCAGTGAGACCTATGGTGACTGGTATTTCTGTATCACCCCAATAGGGTAACTCATTTTGTCATAATGTGATTGACACAGTAGCCTCAGTAGAAGCGCCTCATTTGGATAACTTGGCCTTTTTTGTTTCACATACTTGATCTAACTTTTCCCCAGGCATTATATTCTTCTCTATAATATTGTTCCCAGGAGAAAGAAATTTGAAGTTGTCATGCAAAATAGAAAATTCTACTATGAAAAGTATCTTTGATGGGGAAAATAACTGTTTTAGGAGACTCTTCAAAACGGTCATATGAATGTATAAAAAGACATTAGGGGCAGGGGAAGATTTTAAATATATTTTGAGACAGCTGTAGTACATGATATTTGGCAACAAGCCTTTTGACACCATTGTAATTACAGTCACAGAAAGTAAGAGAATTGGGACGAAGAACCAAATGTTTGAAAATCTGTGGTAATAAGCATCTTTGAAAATGGGTTGCATTGATTCCCCTATGGATAAGCTCATATTTAAAGACTGTGAAGAGAATGAGTCTCCTACCTGCCCTGATGGCAGTAACCAGAGATCACTCTATAAGGTCCTAAGCCAGGGAAAGCCTGGCACATAAATGTGAATAGGATTTCATTCTTGCCCCAAAGGTACTCACAAGCAAGGAGAGATGTCAGGTATGGCATAGAAATTACACTAAATATAGAGAATTGAGACTTCTTAGCTTGGTCTGTTTTTAAAAACCTCATAATGAAAACACACAGTTCTTAGGTGACCAAAGTTCAGTGTTGGTGTACTAGAAAGATAATGAAATTTTCTCTGGAACCTTATATCTCACCAAAGGTTTGACTCATTCACATATGCTCATGACCATCCTCTTTTGTTCTAAGAATTTTAGAAATAAAGGGAATTGCCAATTCACTTGATCTGGTAGGTTTGCTTCTATAGAATTCTGAGAATCCTTTGGTAAGGTTTTCTCCAATTTCTAGCATACTAAAACATGGGCCATGAATCAGAGTGGAAAGGACACAAACATTTGAGGTTTAGTTTGGCCATGTGTAAATGGTTATTATTGCTGCTCACAGCCTATGTGAAATAAACGTTAGCTTCTTTTTGTCCTTTCCTTCTGTGGAATGTTGCTCGCCAAGGAAGTGCACTTTTCCCTGTTGCTCCCCTAATATCCACTCACAGTGCACTCCAGCCTTCTCTGTTTCACCTGCTGGTGCTGGCACACAGTCTCCTCTTCTCATTTGTCTTCCCAAAATTCCATCTGGTTTTAGTTAATTCCTAATCACCTTTGTGTTGTTTGTGTTCCTCCTTATTTACCCTCCTAACTTGCTAGCTAAAATAGCAAGTTGATCTTAGAACATCTCCCTTTGGCCTGCTCTCATTTTTTGTCGTTGCTATACATAAAAATTTTGTTTTTCATTAAAAATGCTATTAGATTCATGGTTTATAATTCTCCTTCTGTTACCTAGTTATTCTGTTATACTTGGCAACAACCACTTGGAATTTCTCCTAGATGTGCTATTCAAAATTGCACATTGACTTTGTTTTTCCTTGATCTTAATTTTCTCTTACTCTTTGTCTGTCTTATGCTACTTTTATCCACCTTGTCACACTCAAAGGACTTCGTGCCCATATAGATACATAATATAGGTTCTCGGCAAAGTGTGGTTATACTGGATAGAATATTACTGGTTGAAATAAAATTTCAAATACAAGTATCATCTGATGATACCCTTTTACCAGAGCAAGTTTTCAGTTTCTAAATCATAATTATAAATGTCATGGGGTGTACATTCATTCTCTGAGTTATTTATGGAAGGATAGACCACTCTTTTTAATGAATATGTTAACTAATATAATCATATATCTACATAAGGAGTTTTGCATTGGTCTTGGGTCATTTAAAATAAACATGGAATAGTTCTATCCACCTCAAAAAGTCTATTATGTTGGAAAAGAGAAAGGCATAGGTGCACACACAAGCAACTGTGATATATAGCACATATGTAGTCTCTGTAACTCCAGCGTGCAGAGAATGAAAGCAAGAGATTGCTTCCAGATGCAGCAAATACCAAATCTATCTTGCAGACAGGACATTTGAGTTGAACCAGGAAAGAGGTATGAAATAGACAGGAGGAGATGAGGAGAAAGGGTTTTAGACAGAAGGAAAGAACACAAGGTGAAGCAGAAAGGTAGGAAAGTGTAGACTGTCTAGAGAATAGACACACTACTGAAAGAGTATTTGAACAGAGGAACCTAGGTTAGTTAAGGACAAATTAAGGGAAAGTATTAAATATTTTAAATATTAAGGAATTTTGGACTTCATCCTGCTGCTAATAGTGAATGATAAGGTTAGCTATTACAATGTTGTCATATTGTTACGTTACATTTTATCAAGTTGTTTGTTTAGCTCCTTTTTAGACAATGAATTCCTCAAGGACAAGGAGAGTGAGTTAATTACCTCTGTTATCTCTGTACCCAGCTTTGTTCAAGGCATGTAGTAGACATGGAATTTTTTAGTTCATTGAGGCAACAGATAATCAAGACTTTGATGTGTGAGTCTGAAATTTAGTATACAGGTTGAAGCTTAGACGGTCAGTGAAGAAGATAGATAAAATAAAAAAGTGAATCTCATCTGGGATGTACTAAAGGAGACAGCTGTGGATTCTGGAGAGTTGCATCTGGAGGACATAGACTTCAGATGGAAGGGTGTGTGTGCCCTGTGTCTTGGAAATGAACGTAAAGAGAGGATGAGAACACATCCGTTAAAGAACCTTGAAACTCAGAGCAGCAGAAGTGCTGTTTCAGTGGTAGGATGACCAACCATACCTAACCCTAATTATAAAACAACCTGATTAAAGACATTGGTTTGAGCTGACTCGTAGAGGACTCGTGTTTTATAAAAGGTCAACGTAGGAGACAGTAACTTGAATACATAATTAGAATTTTGAGCAATGCTAATATTTGCTAAGTCCTTGATTTTACGATTAGATGATAATTCTTATTCTAAACTTTTGCTGTAGATCAAATTTAATATGAAATACATTGGTGTCCTTTTAAAAGTAATTGCTTCTTTGAAAATTTTTATTTGTATCACAGGTGGGATTATTAACAGATTCTCCAAAGATATAGCAATTTTGGATGACTTCTTGCCTCTTACAATATTTGACTTCATCCAGGTTTGTACAGAATAACCATTATGAAGGGTTTTTTTTAATTTGCCGTAAAGTTTTCTCAATAGTTTCAAAACGAAGCAAGTACGTTTTTGCTTATTTTTCCTATAATAGTTGAAGTCCTGGTTAATGATTTAAGTTTTATGGAGAACAGTCTTCAAAAGTCAGAACTTTAACCAGCTCTTTGAGTAGTTGGGTCTATTTATTCCTGGCAGACCTTCCTTTAGATGTAAGACTATCTAGCTGGATTGAATTGAAAAGCTCAAAAGAAAATCTCCCACCAATCATTGGCCATAAAATCTGTTTGATACATCCTCCATTTCCTAGGTCCCACACTGAAATAGATGGAGTCTCTGGATAGACTCCACTCCACTCCAGCCTTACTCATGAGCAATACAAATTAGGTAGTGTCTTCACAAAATGAGACTTAACGTAGGGAAAAAAGATGGCTTGTTGAAAGCATGAAGGAAAAGAAATGTTCAGACTCTGTAAGGGCGTGCCCTCAGTGACTAGACCTCCCATATAGCTGTGCTGTGAGACTGACTCTCCAGTCAGTTAATGAAAGTCACCTTGAGCCACAGTACTCCAAGGTCACAGGACCTAGGGCAGTTGTAAGCTGATACCCTTACCTGCCGATCCAGACACAGCCTCTGAGCTCTCTGAAGACTTCCTGATGCTTCAAGAGCAAATGTGCTTGAAGACATAGTTGGAACGCAACACTGCCGTTTTGGGGATGACTCATTCTTATATCTTGTCCCCTTCTTTTCTCTCCAAAATAATACTATATTGAAAGAACTTGAATAAAAATATAGGAACTCCCACCCTCGTGTGTATACACAAGCAACATCAGCACACACAGAGAAACCAGCTTTGGTTTACCTCCTCTGAAATGATCGACATAATGAAATACACTGTTCTAGGTGAACTGTGGTTTGGATTTCCTTCATTGCTGTGTTTAAAGATATAACTTAGCAGTAACAGCACCTGTTGGAATTTTTTAACCCATGTTTTGATTCAGGTGCTCAAAAGTGTGATTTTGTGTGTCTTTAACAATGGCCATTAGTTTCACATTCCAGGAAAGTAAACCATAGGTGCATAATATGAGTATACTAATAAAATACAACATAGTGCAGCATAACATAATTAGATACTCACTGGACTGGGACATATATCTGAGTCTGTATGTTAAAGTATTAAAAATGGTACTGAGTGATAAATATTTCCTTATTTTGATGGTCTACTGAGTATCTTCTGTCAATTTAAAGTTCACCTTAGAAATCTGGGAGACATAATTTTCAGATATTTATCTTACAAACTGAAGATTTTACATTTGTTATGACTTTCAAGTCCCATGCAGTTTGAACAGTTTTAGCTCAAGTCATAGAGCTGCTAGGGCTTTGTGAAGCAGCAGACAAGTGAAAGGTTTCCATAAATCCACCCTCAGCATTCCCCAACAGGGCACTAGCTAGTAATCCCATGGGAACCAGTGAAGAATCGGCTTACTCACTAGCTTAGGGAAGTTACAGTAGGTTGGTTTTAAAATGATGGTTTATGGTTCGCATATTCAAATTAGCTATTGTGAAATGAATATTAGGAGACGTCTAACTTTTAAAAATAATGTGGGCTTGATATCATGTAGACTGTCATCTGATAAATACATACAAGTATTGCAAACAGCATTCTAATTATTTTGGGAGATAATATAGAGAGATGCCTGTGTTGGTAGTCAAAACTCATTTTGACAGAATGGATAGAAAAATAATGCTTAATTTCCTCCAATTAAATAATTGGAATATCTCCAGTTATTACAATACTAGTAAGTGAGTTTTGAGAAGGGAGTAAACCATTTTAAAAACTGTTTCCATGAAACCAGGAGAAACTGCCTTTGAGATAGCCTTGTCTGGGAAAATGCCCTATTCCTTCTTCAGAATGGAACAGGTAAAGGAACATGTGTAGATATGTTACCAGTACACCACTTCATAAAGGGAAATCTTCACTCACCGCCATGCTTTCTTTGACCCCACAGTTGCTGTTCATTGTGGTTGGAGCTATAACAGTCGTTTCGATTTTAGAGCCCTACATCTTCCTGGCAACCGTGCCTGGGTTATTGGCCTTTATCTTACTGAGGGCATATTTTCTTCATACCGCCCAGCAACTCAAACAACTGGAATCTGAAGGTACAGCATGGAATGGATGTGCAGGGCTCCGTGGACTTAAGGCAGCCACAGGAGCATTTGTGATTCACCACCATTATCCTGCTTTCAAAAAAAAAAAAAAAAAAAAGAGAAAGTGTTCTGCTTTTCATCTCTAATATATAACGGTGGCATGTGTGGGAGTCGGCTGGGGGTAGTGTGTGTGGGAGTGGGCTGGGGTAGTGTGTGTGGGAGTGGGGTGTGGTAGTGTGTGTGGAGTGGGGTGTGGTAGTGTGTGTAGGAGTGGGCTGGGGTAGTGTGTGTGGAGTGGGGTGTGGTAGTGTTTGTGGGAGTGGGCTGGGGTAGTGTGTGTGGAGTGGGGTGTGGTAGTGTGTGTGGGAGTGGGCTGGGGTAGTGTGTGTGGAGTGGGGTGTGGTAGTGTGTGTGGGAGTGGGCTGGGGTAGTGTGTGTGGAGTGGGGTGTGGTAGTGTGTGTGGGAGTGGGCTGGGGTAGTGTGTGTGGGAGTGGGCTGGGGTAGTGTGGCGGGGGGAATGGGCTGGGGTAGTGTGTGGGGGAGTGGGATGGGATAGTGTGAGGGGGAATGCTTGCTCATGCAGGTGTCTGTGGAAACCAAAGACTCATGTCAAGAAATCTTTGTCAGTTGCTTTCTGTACTAAGTTGTCACCCATGGTTAGCAGGTAAAAGGGAAGGATCATGCATTACAAATGTAAGCTCTGGTCTCAGGGTGAGAGCCCCTCTAACCAGTGATGTTTATGGTGTTGTTTCTCCTAAGTTGATCTTTGTCAGAAACATGGTAGTGTGAGATTTTATTCTGTATTAAAAGGCTCATGTTATCTCCTATGGGATATTCACAGGCAGGAGTCCAATTTTCACCCACCTTGTTACCAGCTTAAAAGGACTGTGGACACTCCGTGCCTTTGGACGCCAGCCTTACTTTGAGACTCTGTTCCACAAAGCTCTAAATTTACACACTGCCAACTGGTTTCTGTATCTGTCAACCTTACGCTGGTTCCAAATGAGAATAGACATGATTTTTGTCCTCTTCTTCTGTGTTGTTACCTTCGTTTCCATTTTAACAACAGGTACTGTGTACTCATTGACGAATGTTAACAAAAGATTGCTGAGCATTTAAGTAACAATTTCTGTCAATAAAATGCCATATTTTTATATTAAAACTTTAGATGCTATAAAATAGACTTTTGGGGCTTATCAACCAATACAAGCAATTTCTTTGCATTTCTGTTGTTTTGTTTCCAAATAATTTATTTGGTTTAAATGTTTATATGGGGGCTGGAGAGATGGCTCAGAGGTTAAAAGCATTGCCTGCTCTTCCAAAGGTCCTGAGTTCAATTCCCAGCAACCACATGGTGGCTCACAACCATCTGTAGTGTGGTCTGGTGCCCTCTTCTGGCCTGCAGGCATACACACAGACAGGATGTTGTATACATAATAAATAAATAAATATTAAAAAATTAAAAAAATATTTATATGGTACTTTCCCTAGTTCCTCTGTTTTAAAAATGATGAGATGCTGATTCAGATAGCATAAATGTGATTGACAGGAAAAATCTTTTCATAGTAATGTTGGCAGGACTTCCGAATTAATAGATTTCTTTATGAAAAAATTATCTGGATGGAGGAAGAGGAATGTTCAGGTGTGCCCATGCACACACACACACACACACGCACACATACACTTCTCCTTTCACCCTTCCTGTCAAGTTTCTTCTTTTAACAACTACTTTTTTGTAAAATTTTTTGTCCTATATGAATTTTGAATGAATAAAAATTACCACAGAAGTAAAATAATGTAGATAAAAGTGCATTATTTTTCAAATACAAAGCTTCTGAAATTTAACATTTCAAGCAATAAGAGACATAAAGTATGTGACATAATGTATGTCACACTAAGAAAACAAAAATCTGTACTGATAAATGAGCACCTCTATTTTAAGGTGTTGGATTTCTGAAACAAAATGCTGTATGTTTTATATATAGCATTTTATTGTATATAAAGCATTGCGTATTATTATATGTATGACAGAAGTTCAGAGTGAATGCCACACCAATGCCAGATTTACAACATTATTTTATTTTAAGAACAGAATTATTCAACTCCAAAAGAAGCACTTTTTGACATGTTTTCATGTGGCTTCAGAGTGGGTGTCACACTTGGGTAACTGGAGGGACAAGAACAGGCACTGGAGAGTCAGGCATAGGTATGCTTCTGATTTCGAATGGATGCTGGCTTGTCTTCACTTCCTTCTGTGGACACTTGTTCTCTCTTGTCTTTCTCTCTCTCTCCCCCTCCCCTTCCTTCTTTTCTTTCTTTGTCTCCTTTTCCCTCACTCCTTCTCTCCCCCTCCCTCAACCCTCAGAATTAGTTGTCTTCAACTAATTTATAAGGATCACACCCCAGGATGGCTTCTTCATTCTGCCTCCTGAATTAACAGTAGAGATTCTCTGTCTAATTATAAAGACCTAAACAGGACAGAAAGCCAATTCCTTTTGGTTTTGGGCACCCCTGCAGACACACAGCTGCTATGAGGATGGCCAACTTTCGCATCCCTTGCTTTCTCCATGCATCACTGGGCAATGAAATTATGAGAAGAGTGGAAATGGGCAGGCATGCCTGTGACTCTTCAGCAGTGCAGAAGAGTAACATAAAATGACTTTGGGGGGACAGAGTATTGATTACTTTTATATAAACTAAAGGGAATCAAATATGACTAAATTATATGAATTAAAACTTCTTAACAATTCAAGCCAATACATCACATGCTTTATCAGAATAGGTAAGATTATGACTGAGTCTTGGTTTACCAAGGTCAGTAATGAAAACATTTAACTATCAGCCTTGTTCAGCACCTCTACCTGTATGAGAAGCACAGCCCAAGAGCTTGGTCTCAACTGACATTAATTTATTTTAACTCAGAGACACCAATCAACTTCTCTAATTCTCTAATTACAGACACACAGTAATACCTCTCCCATAGTACTGTGTGATCATTTTTGCAAAACAGCATAATCTTGTCTGTAATAAATTGCCAGTAACTATTGCATTGCTTTTTGTTTTAACCATTTACCTTATTTTTCTTTTTAGCCTTCAAAACAAGAAACATATAGGGGCCCTGGGTGAACTTTTAACAATTTTCAATACATTATTTGATGTAAGGAAAGCAGTTGTGGTAGACCTAAATTGGAGAAAATGTAGACATGAAAATTTTCAGAAATAATAGTATGACTTGTTCATCTCTGTGTTTAACCTTGTGATAGTTATTTGGTAGTTGATTCAAACACTATCGCTTGCTATATGATAACCTGAATTAATAATAATTTATAAACATCTATCCTGGAAATTTTTATGGTCATAATTCTGAATTTTTTCCAAATTTTAATTAGTTGTCATTCCTAATCCTGAAAGAAATTTACTCTAAAATATGTTAGCACTCTCCTTTTCAAGCATGTTAGTCTTTTTTCTGTTTTTTTATATTGTAATAGGCAAACATCTTTCTTGAGGAATGGCTGGCATTAGTTTTCTCACTGCCCAATGACACACAGTCTGCTTTCTTCTGGGCACCTCTGATGAGCAGAAACAGAATCCTGCAAAGGTGCTGAGCCTGTCTACCCCTGCCTGTGTTATTCAGATGTATGCATCCCTCCTTTGGCTTTTTGTAAAGGAGCTCATTTTAAACCAGCCCCCCCCTTTTTTCTGGCATTCAGTCTAGTATTTTTTTCATTGTTACATATAGAATAATAGTAGAAGAGACAAATGTGTTGTCTACCCAATCCCAGCATTACTTTCAGGAGCTAATCAGCATTTAAAAGTGCAACAATTTATGAATACTCAGTCACTACTGATTTTAAAAATTAGTTGAAAGCTCATTCGAGGAGGGCATTATTGTTCCTAGGAGTCACTAACATCAGTATTAAATTGAAATTTGAATAAAATGATGTGTGATGAGAGAGATACAAGTAAAGCAATTCACAGAAGAGATCACATGCACTTGTTCAACCCCTTTTCCACATCTAGGTAAAGGACAAGGATCGACTGGTATTATTCTAACTTTAGCTATGAATATCATGAGTACTTTGCAATGGGCTGTAAACACCAGCATTGATATGGATAGCTTGGTAAGTTATTATCTTTAATTTTTTTTAAATTAAGGGGAAAAAAGAGTAGGTAATAGCTTAAGGGTTTTGTGTGTGTGTGTGTGTGTGTGTGTGTGTGTGTGTGTGTGCGCGTGCGCGCGCGCGCATGCACATTACCAAGTTTAAGAAATAAAATGTTCAGGTAAATTGAAAGACATTCTATATCACACATTAAATGGCGGCATGATTTATCTTTCATCTTCATGTATTGTCACTGTGAACATTGTTGCACGTCTTCTCGCTCAGGAGCTTCCCAAAGCAAATCCTAAGAGTGGAAGGAACTGCTAGGAATTTCCCCAACTTTATTAGCTGATGCCACGTTACTCCCTGGGCTGTTGTGCTGTAGTGTATACTACAACTAAGAGAGTATGTGAATATTTCCAGCAGTATTTGTATTCAGACACTTTTAATTTTGCCTGTTTGAGGAGTGTGAAGTAACTACTAAAATGTCAGGATATCTTAATGCCTGTTCCTTATTGATCATTTGGTTTTTGTTTGTTCTGTTTTGTTCTGTTATGTGCTTGTTCAAATTGTTTGCTTACTTTTTAACTTACTTTTTAAACTATGTTTCTCAGTTGATCTGTAGGTGTTTTTGAATCCTGGGTCAGTTGTCAGTTCTATACATCAAAATGACCCTTGAACTAGTGACTTTACTCATGGTATCTTTTGAAGAAAGGAAACATTGAATTTGATAAAGATTAATTTATTAGTTTTTTCCTTTATGGCTTATGCATTTGGTTCCTACTTAAGAAATTCTTTTCTATGTTAGGTTTTTACATTCAGCAACTTGACACTTTTCATAATATTCTTATTTTTTAAGCGTTTAGTCTCAGTTGTTGTTCCTTCCTAAGCATTTATCATTGTTCCTCTCCTTTATTAATAAATAATAAATTTATTATGAAAATATAATAGATGGGTTGATTGATAGTTCTGTATATCAGTATTTCAGACAAGCAATCACAAATACAACATAACTTTAGGTAGCCGTTGTGGTGGATATTAGGCTTTTGAACTACACCCATTCATTTGCTGCTTCATTCTTGAAGGGTCATTATATAACTTTTTTTGCTTATGTTTTCAGACCTATGTTCATGTGATTGTAAAATTTCTATAATCAATTTTTCTCAAAACAAAAGGTATAACTATATCTCAAGGGAAAAACAAAGTGTTTTAAATTCTCTTCTTAGCCATAGTTAGCTGAGGTATCTTAATAATTCCTTGAAATATAGTTTCCTTAGTTTTTAAGCTAGACAAGTTCCTCGTGTCTTCTTCACACCTGTCCTGGATTGTGTTTTTGTTTTGAGAGCTCTTATAAAGACATCTGTATCTTTTGGAAGTAGCTGAAGAATATTAAATAAATGCCATGTTTCTGTTTACTTCCTTATATTCTTACAACAATGACTTTATAATTCAAAACCCTTGTGCACATTACCTATTTCTTTACTTTAAAACAATCTCTGTACCTTATGTGCTCCAATTCTCTTTGTGACATTAATTTTTTGACTTAATGACATACCCAATCTTTTGATCTTGTGATACAATGTTGTCATCTACAGTGTTCACACTCAAGATATATACAGTTGAACTACTAAACCAAATTACAGACATAAAACTTACAATTTTTAGTAAATTTATGATTTTGTGTTGGGCTTTTTTTATTGCTATGTTGTCCACATGCAACTGGATGTGGCCTGTGAACTGCAGTGTAGACACCCCTGTTAGAATAGCTTCTACATAGGATGTCAAAATCTTTACTCAGTAAATTTCTACCCCACATGTTTAATGTCCATGAGAAACATTTTAGTATTTTACTAAAATATTTACTAGAAGTATTTTACTTCTCCAGTGAGTATGTTGAACTTTGTACCTTATTCATTGACATTGTATCTTTTGAAGTGTATGAAAGGACTTTTACAAGGACCTATTGTGTCTATGATATGGTCTATGAAAAGTATTAGTATATATATGATATATATATATATACATATATATGTGCAATATGTTTGCATTTGATTTAATTTAAAAGGTTTTGCTTTTTGTTTGATAACAAAGAGCATATATATGTTTTCCTTTCCCTGCCAAGCACTGCTGATGGGCCTCCCTGTGTGTTTGTGGTCCCTGTCTGCCAATAACTCCCATCATGCTGCTCTCATCTACAATACTGCTAAAACTACCTAGTAGTGGTTTTGTTTTCATCTCTTACTTTGAGAATCAGAGGGTAAAAGGACTGAACAGTGTCCTCAGAGGTCATGTCCACCTGATGGAACCACTGAGGGTCTTATAACTCCAAGCAACTCAGTGTGATGTTACTTTACCTTACTGTGTTCTTGACTGCATTTAGAGTGACCTTAGTTTAAAATGGAACAAACACAATGTTTTCATTGCCACACAATTTATTTTAAAACTATGTGTAGAGCTACTCAGGAAAGAGGCTTCAGAGTTGGAAAAATTACTTCGTTTACTCATCTGCCCCAATTTAAACATGGGTGCATAGTCAGTTGGACTATGAAGTTGTAAGCATAGCAGTGTAACTTTGTTTTCATTCTCTGCAGTTACTTACCCAACAGACCCCTAGCTTTCTTTAGTTTATCACAACACCACAACGGCTACCTAAAGTTATGTTGTATTTGTGATTGCTTGTCTGAAATACTGATATACAGAACTATCAATCAACCCATCTATTATATTTTCATAATAAATTTATTATTTATTCCCAAAGATAGCTCTTTCCTTTATTCTTGTATCATTTTTGACATCTTAATAATTCCATACCATAAACTCTGAGCCAATGACCTTGCTACATATCTCACAGAAATACATAACCAGAAATAATTCCTCCACTGCTCTCTACTTTCTCTTTCTTTTTTAAAAAGATTTATCTGTTTATTATGTATACAGCATTCCTTCCATGTGTGCCTGCAGGTCAGAAGAGGGCACCAGATCTCATTATAGATGGCTGTAAGTCACCATGTGGTTGCTGGGAATTGAACTCGGGACCTCTGGAAGAGCAGCCAGTGCTCTTAACCACTGAGCCATCTCTCCAGCCCATACTTTCTCTTTCTTAATGCTGATATCACAATGCTAGATTATCTTTCAGTGGACATAACATATAACAGTATGTGTTCTTATACAGGCTTATAGCCCCTCTACTTGTATGCACTTACCCCCACTCTGTCCTTGCTACTATATACAGGCAAATACTGTATAGTTTCCTGCCCCTTGTGAGCCTTGTCTAATCAGTAAATAGTCTCATTTGCTCTCCAGTTCCCATCCTGTTTCTATCACCTGTTTACAACAAAACTTCTGAAAAGATTGCCTTTCTCTGTTATATCTTTATTCTTCACACAGTTTATTTCGTTTTCATCACCTACTCTAGTAACAATAAAGACCATGTCATGCACAAAACCACTTATTTGTCACTTGCAATTGTTGAGCGGTATTTTCCGTGGATGAGTACTCTTCATCTTCCTATCATATCCTGTACCGTCATCGCCTGTATATTTTTAAACATCACCTGTATTATAGCTGCCTTCTATCTGCGTTTTCTCTAGCTATTGCTATCTAACTCCATACTTCAAAAGCTGTCTCTTGATGAATCATAGATTCATATGTTTAGTGCACAGCTCTCTTGCCTTCTAAACATTTCCGACCATCTTGATATCTTCATGTATCCATAAAACACGTGGCTAGATTATTTTCTAGTCAATTTGATATGCTAGGGTATGAGTTCCTGTATATCTCTCCCAAATACAAACAGGATCTAAGGGATCATTAAAATGAAAGAAAGGTTCTACTGTCTTTGTCTGGAAGCTAAATAAATAAAAGCCGGCAGGGTGTAAAAGGTAATGCTTTAAACTTAGCATTATTACATCATTTGGTGACTAAGGGGTTGCTCACACATAATTTCTTCATTTGATAACTCAATCCTTCCAGAACTGTCTGCCATAGAGGGAACAAAAAGTGAACAAACTTAATATGTGAATGTGACTGCCTTAGTTTTCTAAGAAGACCAGCAGATAAGCATCCTGCTTCCACTAAGTGATTATTCTATTGACTGAACTGTATGTGCCTTGTATAAGGAGGGATGCCACCTTGTTAAGGACAATGAATTTACAAGGCTTCCATTTAGAGCCCCGTTAATGAAGTTCCAGAAAGTTCTTGCATTGTTGGTGCAATCTGAGAAGAGTTTTCTGTCAATACAAACTCCCTCTGTTTCTCCTTTGTCCTTTCATCACCTGTGTTTATTTTGGGTTCCACTGGAGATCAGGTGACTAATGGAGAATAAGCAACGTGAAATGTGGTAGGAGGAGAAAAAGGAAATTTTTCTTTTCTTCATGGTGCTGTTACAGAATGCTCTTGTATTGAAAGCAGTTTCTGTTATAAGGATCTGACAGGGGAATTAATTTATCCTTTGTCTTTTGGCTCCTTTAATGGTAGCTTGATTGTGGTTTGTTGTTGTTCTTACAAGTCTTTGTGGTGTGTTTTTCAAGGCATATGCCCATCCGCCCACAGAGAGCCTTGTATTTCATTCTGGCCCAGACACTTAAAAGTTGAGTGCCTTTAGGCAAGTCATTGTTCTCCATTTCCATAGCCTTATTTTCTTCTTCTGTGAAGTGAAATGGTTTGGTTAGGAATTTTTTCAGGTTTCTCTTCTGAACCCATTCACATAAAAATGTCAACTCTTAGGGTATATGTAGGCATTATTCTAGATCTTACAAAAACCACACGCCAACTCCATCCTAAATGCTGAAATCCATTAACTGTTACTCTACAGTTATTGCAGATGGTCCAAAACCTTTCGTTTAATGTGTTACTGCAGCCAACAAAGACAAAGTGAACAATTTTATGATATTCTCAAGCCTTGAATTAGTATAAGAATCTTATGGGCTCCCTCAGGAATTGCTGGACTGTGCAAAAATGTCTGATAAGCTTGGAAAATGGTTAGGGCTTTGTTCCTGCCACTTTAACTTCCTGGTTTAAATTTTCTCATCTGTATAATGAAAGAATGGATTAGATCCTGGGCTCTCAGCTTGGCTGAACATGAAAAAACTCTAGAATAAAGCTTCTTGAAGTTCACAAAGACCCATGAACTTAGTTCTTCTGCTGGGGTCAAGGTGACAGGATCTGTAGTCTGTGTTTTGAATATGTGCCCAGATAATTCTAATGTGTGTCTAGGCATTTGAATCACTGGATTAAGTGATTTTGAAGATTCATTTTTGCTTTGATTTTCTGAGTCATGTCACAAGGATCAGCAAACATTATCTGTTAGGAGTGAAATAGGAAATAGTTTGCCTTGTGAACTTATGGGATTGTGACAGCAAATCACCCTAACCTTTATAGGACAAGCAGCCATAGACATGTGTGTATGTATGTTTTGTTTAATTTCTCTTTGATAATTTTTGTCTATTTTTAGTTTACTTTGATTTTTGAGGGTGTTTGGTTTGAAAAAGAGAGAGAGGAGAGAAAATATGAAGTTGTGTGGATAGGGAGGTAGGGAGGAGGATCTGGAAGGAATTACAGGGAAAATATGGTCAAAATGTATTGTATGAAAATATATAAATATTTTCATAAAAACAATAAAAATATCTTATCAAAATTACAGTATTTTTCTAAGCATCAAGATTTTTAAATACTATAACTTCTCCAAATTTTGTCAGTCAGAATTCTCCTTTGTATATAGTACAGATATTTATGTAAACATCATTGACACAGGACAAAAATGATTTGCTAATGGTTCTTCTGTTTACTAGTAGTTATACCCTTAGACCAAGGATCAGCAGAAATATTGCCAATATGCCATATTCTACTCCATATGCTTATATATTGTCTTAGCCAGCTGCTCCTGTGCATGAGGCCTGCTTTGGAGTGTGGTAGATTTTAAGAAACCGATTTTTCTCCTTTTTATCAGGTATCATAACCATTGGTGAATGTAAAACACTTTCATTACCACAAATTTCAACTCCATCATGGATTATGACCTCATGGAAGCTCCCCTAACAAATCCTCCTCTTAACTTTCCATTTCCTTTCTTCCTATATACTCTGGGCTCTCCCAAGATCACTTGCAGCTGAAAAGGGAGGATATTTTGATTAAGGTTTATGTGGTATGAAGAGACACCACAACCACAGCAACTCTTATAAAGGAAGACATTTAATTGGGGTGGCTTACAGTTCCAGAGGTTTAGTCCATTGTAATCATGTCAGGACATGACAGTGTGCAGCTATACATGGTGCTGGAGAAGGAGCTGAGAGTTCTACATCTTGGTCCACATGTAACAGGAAGAGTACTGAACTAGGCATAGCTTGAGCATATGAGACTTCAAAGCCTGCCCCCATGGTGACACACTTCCTCCAACAAGGCCACACCAACTTTAACAAGGCCACACCTCTTAGTAGTGCTCCTCCCTATGAGCTTCTGGGGACCAATTACATTCAAACTTCCCTGGAGGGAAAACAAGAGAAATTGCTGGTTGGAATCCAAGGAGAGGGTCTAAGACTCTCCATTCCTTCCTTTTGGGGGTAGCAAAAGTTCTATCACTATTACCATAGACCTAGCTATTAGTATATATTATTCTGCTTATTTTACCACATGGACACCAGACATAAGGATATCTCTACTCTAAGGGGATGGAATAATCATGTTATATCAAGAAGAAGAAGCCACACTATAAACATAGATGCATATTTACTTGAAAATATAACCTTTATATAACCCACATTTTGCTAATGATGGAAATTTATTTTTAGGTAACTTATTAACAGTATACATTTTTAACTTCTTATCTGTGTAATGACTTATATTTGAGCATTGTGAACTCATTAAAAGTTGACTAAGCATCAGGAGCTTACTCAAAACTGCGTTGACGTGTAAAATTGTGGGTATAGTAAGACAGAACTCTCTGCGGTGGTTGAAAAGTGTTCTACATTTTATTGCAGAATACTGACTGTACAGTGTTGTACAGTACTGTCCTAATGGGGGAAATACTTCTCTTTGACATCATCTATGCCCTTGAGAATATTTTGGTTATTTGTGTGTGAACTGTGTAACTGAGATTTAAGCAATCACAAAAATAAACAGGTCTCTACAGAACCCAATTATATAAGTCTTAGTTGTTCCTCTGGTTAAGCTTTTAATTATATCTAATTATTTCCTGTTACTTCACTGAAAACCCTGACAAATAATCAAGTGTCTGGTAGCTACCATCTTAATCTACAAGTTATTTTTTTAGGCAACATCAAACTAATTATGGCACTGTCTACAGTTCTCAAGCAAACAAAAATACTGTTATTTTCATTTCAGATGCGATCTGTGAGCAGAGTCTTTAAGTTTATTGATATACCAAAAGAAGAAAGTGGGTGTACCAAGATAATGAAAGGACTACCTCATGAAGACTCCTCTAAGGTTCTAGTTATTCAGAATGAACATGTGAAGAAAACTGATACCTGGCCCTCTGGGGGCGAAATGATTGTTAAAGACCTCACTGTGAAATATGGGGATGATGGGAATGCCATATTAGAGAACGTTTCTTTTTCAGTGAGCCCTGGTCTGAGGGTGAGATTTCAATATTACTTGATTCTTTAGTGAGTTTCAATATGTTCAGTAAGTCCCGGCAGCCATTGCAATGTTAGTAAAACCTATTACTAACATAATTATAGAGTCAGTATTCTATATACGTAGTTGAAGGTGTAACTGTGGGACTTCATTTTATGTTTCACATGAAATTTAAATTGCAGAGTCCTGGATCTATGCAATAGGTTTATTATAAATGTGACTATGCTTGGATATGACTGTTCTTGCAAGATATGTAATTATTCAGATTTTTCCTTCTGTCGATGCCATTAAACATAGCATGTGCCAGAATTACAAGCATTGCTATAAATAGTAGCAACAAATAGATTAACCAGCACAGTGTGACTTTATTCATGCCTTCATTAACTTAGATGAAACTATAAATGGCTTGCTTTTGGACAATGTGTAGGTGTGCCCTAGTTCTTTGGGCCATCCTGTTAGCCTCTGATTTCCAAAGGATTCATTTAGAACCTGCACAGCTAGGCTAGCCGGCACATGCGCAGTTGTACTCTACAGCTCCTTCCTGCCTTTTGTTCTCTACTCTTTCTCTTTAGCCCTATTTTTAGTTTCAATCCTTTCCTTTCTTTTGTTCTGAGTAGTTTATGATTTCAAGTCTTTCTCTTTTCTTACCATGGTAATTCTGCTTTTGTGAATTTTCAGTTTTCTCTAGAGTTGACAGTTTACAATGAATCCGGGTCCATTTAAAAATAAAAGTGTTATAGAATAAGTCGCATCAGTACCTTATCATCCCAGTTTATCCCTCCTTTGTTTTACATTCTCTCTATGATTCATTTTATTATCTACATATTGTAAGTGAGCAAATACATATTAATTTTTTAAATCACCTTTTCTTTTAGATCCATTAAGAATAAGAAAAGTAAGAGTTCTCATTTTGCTGCTGGCTCATTTAATTTCTAAAGTGCTTTCTTTATTCATTTAGGTCCATCCAAGTTTTCAATTTTTTGTAGATCTGAGCTGCAACTTTCCTTTTCTCTGAAGAACTTCTCTTAGCATATCTTTCAAGATAAGTCTGTTGAGGCACATAGTCTATTTGTAGTTTCTTACCTCGCCTTTACTTTTGAAAGACAGCTTCACAAACTACACAATCCTCCTTTGGTGGGTTTTGTTTTTTTTCTATTACTCCATTCTTTTCCTGATTTTATGTTGTCCATAAAGTTCTAACTAGTTCTTACCTAATTTTTTATAAGTAATGAATTTTTTCCTCTGGGCTTTATTCAAGATGTTTTCTTTCATAATTTTTATTTCAAGATGATTGCTGTGGTATGGTTCTTTTACTTTAAGCAACATTCTGCATGTTTCCTCTGTATGTGTGTTGAGTGTATGACACTAATTTCGAGGGGGTGATTCTTGGTGGCTATTGTTTGAAGTATTTCTCTCAACCCTTTATTTCTAGCCTCCTTTTTTCCTTCTTCCTCTTTTGCCTTTGGTTTTGTATTTGCATTATATCCATGTTACATTTTTTCTTGCTGTGTCCTGTTTCTTGGCTACCCTGTTATTTTTTTTCCTGAGGCATTTTTGATGCTGACATACCCTCAAGCTCAGGGGCTCTTCCTCAGACATGTCTAAACTGCTGATGAGCTTATCAGCGTATTCTTATCATTGTTGGGGTAAATTATTTTGCTGTAGTTTTAGAATTCTTTTGATCCTGTCTTAGAATGAACCCTTTCTGCTTCCCAGTGATCTGTTTCTGTATGCAAACATTCCATTATTAAACCCTTATCACATTAATTATTGTTGGTTTACATTCCCAGCCTATTACTTACAGAGTCTTTGTCACATCTTTCTTCTATCCTAATATTGCTTATTATTTACTTTTTTTCCTTTTTAGCTAACATATGTGATGTGCTTGGGAAAGGGGACTGGAATAATAGGCAGTACTATAGTGGGTGTAGAGTTCTGTAGCCCTGTGATTAAGTCCTAGTAAATTAGAGAAGTTATGCCTTCAGCTGAATTCGTAAGTGCTACCAACTTGTTCACCCCTTTAGACAGACTTGTTAGAGTGGCACTAAATATTTCTATTTCCTAAAGGCAGGCTGGGTTCTGGGGAAAATTTCCAGGAAGTAGACATGATAAAATAAGTGTCACTCAGGAGCAGATTTGAAGTGGGAGACAATGTTCTGGCCTGTCTCAGAGTGCTCACTCTCTCCTGTGGTTGCTTAAAACCTAAGGGAACTTTCTCTAGTCTCTCGGAGAGGTCACTGGAGGGTACTGGAGATTGTTTCCCTCTCCATAGTCCTCAAAGAGCCTGAGCCATTTTTCAGTAAACTCCTAGTACTGGCTTCCTCAAGGTTGCTGCCTGGTAAGTTGTGACTGCATCTCTTTGTCTTTCTCCCCGGTTCTAGGGGCATAGTCCTTTCCTCTGTGGCGCTACCTCTCTGACAGAAAATTTGTTGCTCAGTCTTTTTACTTAAGATGAACTGACTTGCCCAGCAGTTGTGGCACACAGCCTTTAATCACAGCACTCGGTAGGCAGAGGCAGGTGGATCTTTGTGAGTTCAAGGCCAGCCTGGTCTACAAAGTGAGTTCCAAGATAGTAAAGGCTGTTACACAGAGAAATGTTGTCTTTAAAAACCAAAAAATAAAAAAGAAGTGATTTATTTCTAAGCTCCGCATGAATATGAATGAGTGAATGACTTAGTCTAATTAGTAGGTCAGATTCTTACTTAGAACAGTTATCTCCAGATTGCCAATTCCACAACCTTGCCTTTACATTATAATGAAGTGCTTCAAGCATATTTCTCATTTGCTGAATTGAATTAAGAAATAAATTCAAATATATTTGAATATTTTTGATATTGCATAACATTTTAGGCAAATTAATTATTGAAAAGGCAGTTGAAATTTTTTATTTTTTATTTTTATTTATTTTTATTAATATTTAGTTTAAATATTAATCCTTTAATTATTAGTGAATTTAGTATTTTTAGATGTGTAAAAAAATAATATTTTGTGTAGAAAAATTATTCAATCTTTGTATTTAAACACTTTGTTTTATTAAAGTTACTTCAGGAGAAAATTTCCTGTTTTACTGTTTCCTAATCAGATATCTCACAAAATTTATTTTTTGTTGTTTCATTTTCAATGCATGAAGAATATAACAACTACCACAGTTTATTCCTCCCAAATCCGTTTTGAGACTTGGTACATAGGTTAGTTGGTAGACTGCTTACCCTCAACCTAACACCCTGCCTTCAGTCCCCAACAACAGACATACAAACACAGAAATCTTTTTTCCTTTTTAATCTCAAACTTAAAAGCATTTGATTTTTTTTAATCTAAAATTTTTGCCGCCAGATCACTTTTCTGAAGTAGATTCAAAAATCAGACTCTTCTTTCTCTCTCTCTCCTACAGTATTTCACATGGGGCCCCTATATTTTCACAAAATAAAGACAGAGATTTTAATTGGTAGTTAAATCTATCTTGATAAATCTATACTTTCCAAATTCTTCAGCTAACACATTGCATATATCATAGTACTGGATAGTCCTATAATTAGATATTTAATCATTCTTTTTTGAATTGTTTGCTTTTTGAAACAGGGTTTCTCTGTAGTTTTGGAGCCTATCCTGGAACTAGCTCTTTCAGACCAGACTGGCCTCGAACTCACAGAGATCTGCCTGCCTCTGCCTCCCCAGTGCTGAGAAGAAAGGCATGCGCCACCACTGCCAGGCCAATATTTAATCATTCTTAAGGGTCTATTTCTTTAGGTTCTATTTTAGTGACTTTAGCTGCTATCTCCATTTGTAATCTATTCAAAATACTATGTGCAAAAAAAAAATGGTTCTTTAGAATATCAGTGTCCTGATCAAATCAATACACTTAAATATGTGTTTGATTTGTTAAAGATGTACCTCATTCTGTCTTTATAAAATCTGGAGTGAGGTTGCTGAATCATTTAATAATTTGAGTAGCCCATGTGCCTTACTGATACTAAGCATGTCTCAGTTATAATCACCCCATGACTCTACAATTCATTTGACTGTCTTGGTTTTTGTAGATCACAAGGAAATGCAATCACTCCAGTGCATTTCCCTCTGCCGCCTGCTGAAGTGCAGGGCATGCAGGGCCGGTGCTCACAACACAGTGCAGCTCCTGCTTACACTCAGCTCAGCACTGCTTAGCTCTCTACATCAGAGTTTGATTTATCTTGATCCAAAATTTCCAGAGATGAGGTGCATTGACGTTACTAAAAAGCATTGACTTAAACTTAGAATATATATCTTAAGAGCTTATTTGCAGGAAGTATTCTTTCAAATAAGAAGATAATTATTATGTGACGATTATTAAACAGGACGACTTTGTTAGGGTATAAACCAATTAGGCTCCTTGCTGTTGAAAAACTGGTCAGACTTAATACATGTCAGCACTTTGATGTGAGGAAGCCAGAGCAATAGCTGGAGGGTTTAAAGCCAAAGAAAATATTTATTGATTGCCTCTCAGCCCAGTATTATCCCAACATAAGAACTGACTTCTCTGAATATTTCAGTACTTCCTACTGGAAGAAACACAGTACAGTCATTTACCCTACAGGGGATTTGTACTTAAGGCTCTTTCTTACCAAATATCCTTTCTATGACCTTAGATATTACCTTTATCTGTTTTTGTTCTCCTATACATCACCTGCACTGATATATTCTGATTTCTTATCTAATGCTCCATTGCAGTGTTGGAAAAATTATGACATATGGTGAATACACACATGTTCAACATGTGCTAGTGCAGAAATGGAAATGTGTACATGGAATTCCTTAAGGTTTTAAAATAAGATTTGTAGTAAAAGGGGTGGCTGGCTGCGTTCCCGCCAGGTTCCTGCATGGCTAGCTTTACCTGAAATAATTACACAGAAACTGTATTCTTTTAAACACTGCCTGGACCATTATATCTAGCCTCTTATTGACTAATTCTTACATACTGATTCAACCCATTTCTAATAATCTGTATTCTTTTAAACAATGCCTGGCCCATTATATCTAGCCTCTTATTGGCTAACTCTTACATACTGATTCAACCCATTTCTAATAATCTGTATGTCACCATGAGCTCGTGGCTTACCAGGAAAGATTCAGCATGTCTGACCTGGCAGCTTCATGGCGTGGGGCTCTCTGCCTCTGCCTGACTCTGCTTCTTTCTCCCAGCATTCTGTTCTGTCTACTCTGCCTTTCTAAGCTGCTGTCCTATCAAAGGCCGAGGCAGTTTCTTTATTAACCAATGAAAGTAACACATAGACAGATGACCCTCCTCCATCAAAGATTTGATCTAGTAATTGAACAAAATTAAATAAGTCTATTACTCATTTGTGAGATCAAATAAATAGATATGCTCGCTCATTGGCTCATTTATCTGACTGTCTTTCAGTTAATCCTAGTATTTATTTAGCACCTTTTGTAAGCCAAGTGCACATTGGTCCATTATTCATCCGTTCTTCCATCCATCCATTTTTCCATTCTTTCATCCTCTAATCTCTTATCCCTCAGTCAGTCCTGGTAACTATCCATTGAGGATCTTGTGTAAGCCCACATTATCCTAAATGGAGAGACACAAAAACAGGTAAATCATGCAACATTTGTCGAATTTATATTTCTTATATAAACGTAAGAAATAGAGAAAACAATTACCAACTTCTGTATAATATTTGCTTGATCATATTTTCCCAAGAAAAAATTCATGAAAAATTGTAGACCTTGTAGAGTCATTCGTTCCATTGCTTAGGAAGGCAGTATTAGTGACATTATTCTTTACTAGCTGAACATATCAGAAGGCCTACATTATTACCAAGTTAATAATAAATACCCAGTAAGTTACTCTTATTGTTTTCATTTATTGTGCCCCACGCTATGGTTTGGGTTTATAAGTTATTACTAGCCTATGACAAAATCAGTACAGAATCTGCAAATATTTAAAAATTCATTTTATAATATATTTTAAATACTAATTTGCAGTGACTTTCTAAATGATGCTTTCTCTCCAAAGAGGTCAAATGATAAGAGATCAAGGGGTGATGTGAATAGGATAAAACACATCTTAAGTGCTGCAGAGATCCAGCCAGTTTTATTTTTTTGTATTCTATTTTATTTTTGTGGTTGGTTAATGATCTCAGGAAACCAAGCCTATATCAGAAATAAGAACAAAGTGTATGAGCCTTGAGGGCTGCCTACACTGCTGATCTCTTCATGTAATTGGAGGCACTGTTGATCCAATTCTGTGCTCTTGTAGCCTTGGTTTTTGGATAGAGAGATCGGTTTCTTTAATAATAGTTCCGTTTTTGCCTATTTAAGTTCCCTTCTTGCCAGTGGGGTCATATATTAGCCCTTGACTCGAATATTGCCAAAGAGCTAAACCATAGTGAAACCTCAGATCAACCTGCAGTTTATAAAATATATACTTTCCTGAAAATATTCTTATTTTATCATCAGGCCTGAACTTGACACTGTTTAATTTCTTAGGGGCAGAATGTTTCTTCACCCTCGCAATGCTTGGTCCCAAACCCAGGACCCTTATACATGCTAGGCAAGTGCGGCTCCACCAGTGAGCCACACTCCCTAGTCTAGGGCCTTAACTAAATGTTAGGCATATTTGGGGTCAGTTTTCAAGTTTGTGTCATGTCCAACAATCTATCAAGCTGTACGCCCAGGAGTTTTGCTTGAGCCCATCTGTATAGCTGACATACATCAAGAAATGTTGTCTTCACCTTTCCTTAATGCAAAAAAGGTTCTTTCCACATTTTCCTTATTAGTGGTCACTGAAGGTCATCAGGAATAGGACCCCTTATGACCAGTTTCTGATTTCTGTTCCAGATTATTTCCCCCGTCTTCCTAATGATGAGAATTGGGAGTATGTAAAAGTTACAAGTGAATAGGCCACAGGAGAAACAATCCTAATGGTTTAATTGAAGAGCTGTACTGAGTGGAATATGGAGTGTGCTCTCTTTGTCTCAGGAGTAATTCTGTCACTTTTGCATCTTAGGTGGGCCTCTTAGGAAGAACTGGCTCAGGGAAAAGTACTCTGTTGTCAGCATTTTTACGCTTGTTGAACATTAAAGGTGATATAGAGATTGATGGTGTCTCGTGGAACTCTGTGACCCTACAAGAATGGAGGAAAGCTTTTGGAGTAATAACACAGGTGAGCACAAAATATGTAAAATAAAAACAGTAAAAATTTACATTTTTATCATTCTTTTACATACCTAAGAAATTCTTACTACTCTGCAAAATATATTTGGTGGGTTCTGCTATCTCTCCTGCTGTGCAAGAAAAAATGTACCATAAGGCATAAAAACAGCTCTCAAAATTTGGAACTCTGTGTGAAGTGTATTTTTTTAAATGTTTTGGTAGTGTTTTTTTGTTGTTGTTGTTTCGTTTTGTTTTGTTTTGTTTTTGTTTTTTTCTGAAGCACAGTCTGTAGCTGTGGCCTGGCGCATTGTTTTGTGATGGTTTCATAGTTCAGTGTTCACAGTTCCCTGTGAGCAATAGCCACAAATCAAGAGACATTTTTACTGCGACTAAAGACAGAAGACATTTGCAGTGTTTCTGTTGCTGTTTGCCCTTTTCTCCAATATTTTTCCTCCTTCTGTTCTACTAAGCATGGAACCCAGCACCTCTGTACTTTTAACAAAACTAACATGCCAGAAGCATCACCCGGACACCAACTACAATCTAGACCAAGAAAATGCTTGCATTCTTGATAAATGATCTTCATAGAACATTTGCCCCTTTCAAGTGGTGAGGCACTAAATATTGTGGCTCCCAAACTGATGCTTTAAATTCATGTCTGTAGTTTGCCATTTTCCAGAAGCTTCATCCTGAATGAAGTTGTGGGAACATAATTTTTAAAAACAAAGGAGATTGTCAGAGAGTCTAAAGATAAAGAACTATTGAAAAGATAAGTTTGCTAAGGTGATAGAATTAGCAAGTAAAAATGCCAAGCACAGTGGAAGCAAGCGTGGTTGTCAGAGAAGCACTGCCATTGAGGTCCCCTAATTTTAACTAATACAGTGAAGTCTTTGCCTTGTTGTTCTTGTTCACACAGGTATAGAAAAGCCAGGCTCTGAAAGGTCACTCCTTTCGTCCTTCATTGTACCTGTCATGCAATAGAAGGACTTTGCACTCCTTGCTAGTTCTCCTTAGGAACTTACATAGACAGGACCCAGGGTACAATAGAATGGACCAGACTTAGAAAAATCTGTCTTGCCTTTCTGCTTAAGTCAGTTTTCAAACTTGCCTCTATTCATTTCTGCTCTCCTATGGCATCAAGATACATAAAATAAATTAAAAATGTGTCCAGAGGCTTCTTCAGAAGTGCTGATGAGGACCATATAACTTCTTTGCTTGGTGTCTCAAGAGCATTTGCCAGCATGGTTAACATTGTCTCTGACAATTTTTGAACATCTTGTAAATACCTAATAAAGAGAAAGAAGACAAAGTCCTTATATACTTGATATCTAAGCTAAGGGCTGCTTTCCCTTTTCTAACTCCTCTTGGAAAGTACGAATTATAGCATGTTTTTCCTTTCCTGGAGTTTGATCTTTAGAAGGACATAAAAAATGAAGAATGAGCCAAATATATAAGAACAACTAATTTCATTGGCTTTTTCATCTTTTCCTGTCTCTAATGTCTCTCCTTACAAGGTCATACTTCTGAATATCACTCTCACTTTGAACTAGCGTAATGTTCATTGGCCACTGGTTTTCAAACACATGAAACAGGTACTTTGAAACACATCCCCTGTCTCATACAAGGGATCCTGAAACATTAGCTGTGGAGTCACAAGCTGCCATTGGTTTGAGCAGTTTCTGGCAGGTACTTGTTTTTATTTTTTTGTTTTTATAGGTTAGCATCTAGAAAGCCATCTCAGAATACATGCTTCCCAGAAGACATACTATTGTGTACATTCTAAAGAGCCTCTTTCTTGTATTCTATTTTGGCTTTGAGTTTTGAGTCAAGAAGAGAAGAAAGTGAAGCTAATAGTTGGCATCTCATTGGCTTAGACATTTAGAGTACCAAGATGAAAGTGCTCACTAACTGTATACCTTGTAAGCAAATGAATTAATGAGAAACAATTGTTTTAAGGCTTCAGTTACAAATTTGGAAAACTGGAAGCTCTTGTGAGCACATGATTAGAACTTTTATTTTTGTTTTCATTTATTTTTATTGTATGTGATATGCATATGAGAGGAGGGGAGAATGTGTGGGTGTGTGCATGATGTGACACACTTGCAGAGGTCAGAGCACAAATTTCAGGAATCTGTTCTCTCCTTTCTCCATGGAATTTAGAGATTGCATTCAGGTCATAAGGCTTGTGTGGCAAATGTTTTTATCTACCTAGCCATCTCACTGGCTCCTTTTCTCAATGGTTTGGAAATACGCAAACCGTTTTTTTCTCCATCACTCTCAGCACAGAGTGGGGACATCTTTTGCTTTGGGAGATATCAGGTCGCATGTGTGGATATAAACAATGAAAGTGTGGGGCAACAGGTGATAACTTAAAACTTTCCATACAAAATTGCTAAACTTTGTTCTTCTAACTATTTTATAGGCTCTTTAGTTATAGCAAAAGGGCAAGATACTATTTGTCTTTGTTGTGCCACCGCAAAGTTCTGGTCCAACCTGTAAACTTGTAATGAGGAACTCAAAACAATGGTCATTTTCATATGACAATGATTAAAGCAAAAACTGAGACAAAATGAGAAACTGAAAATCAGTAATTGAATATATTACTATCAAGGTTTTGGGTAGTGCATGGACAGTGATAGACTGTCCAGACCCCAAATCTGCTAATACTGCTTCCAGGGCCTCAGTGCCCCTCATTCCCTGCTGTTTGTCTCCTCCTTCTTTCCTTGTTTCCTTTCTGTTTGTAGCAAACATGTAACTGTTTGTTGGTCAGACTTTATTAATTGAGGGTTTTTTTCTCTAATACTCTCAGCGTCCACACACAAATATGATCTCAAACCTTGTTTATGAATTTCTTCTTGTCCTTCTGATGTGTCCTGATTTTCAAATTACCTGTCCTTTCCTTTCATTTACACTTAGAATTTAAACACATTGTAGATAGTCTAATAAAAATGGAAGCAGAATTAGAAGAAGAATAATAGAAAGATTAAATAATTTTCTTCTGAAATTTTTTTCTCTGTTGTAAGACATGTAACAGAACACCTTGCATAAGAGGAATTCAAAAATCCACCATTCTATGCTGAATCACTAAACATTGTTGTCTCTCCCGTTTGTGGGTCTGTCAGCATTTAGGCTCTAGTCAGTATCATCTTAGGCCTTTGTTTTGTTTCTCTGTGTCAGTCTCCTTATCTGTAAAGTGGGTAAAATGTTAATAACAATTCCTTGTACCTTGTGTGGGAGCGGAGTGAGAAGTGTTCAGACTCCTCCTTTCCACATTGCTCGAGTGTTCCTTGTGCGCTAGTTACCATTATCATTGATTGTTCCAGGAGGAAAAGTCATGCTTCCTCTGTCCGTGTGCTGGCCTGGGGCTGTGTCCTGGAAGTGTCAATAAATGAGTGTGGACAATTGCACAAAGAAAGTTGTAATGAATGCATGCCATAAGGTGTCATCTAGTGTTTAGGTTTAGAAAGATTGGGTACATGGAGTTGCAGGCCGGGAGATTCTGAACAAGCAAAAGGATAGGTCAATATGACAAGAAAGAGAGAAGCCTCAGAGAAAAGCAGAAGTCAGAGAGTTTTTGGAGAAGTTATAGCATGGTCTAGCAGCTAGAAACTGATTCTTCTAGGGTAAGAAAGGACCTGGAGAAGGTGTGGTCGAACACTGGTACATACATGATGGACTATCAAATGATCGCACTGTGATGTGAGTAATTAGAACTTGCTGAGGTAGACAGTTGAACACAATGCAGAATTCAAGGGAAGACATAAAAATAACTGACATCTCCTATTTTCAAATAAATACAACACCATTTAGCTATTTCTGATACTAAAATTCAAAACCTTTGATTATATACTTTGATTAGAAAAACATTTTTATCTATCTTTGAAAAGGTTTATACTAAAACTTTGTGGCATAAAAAGTATTATAACTCACTGAATGGATTTCTGGGAAACTGTACTTCTACTATCTTACATGCAATCTTTTATATTTAAATAAATGACAGGCATATTGATAGTATAATGCTCTATGTTTGTTATAAACTGTTAATAGTTCTGAATAGAAATATATTCTTCATAATTTTCTAGCCGAAAGATTTTCTTAAGAGCAAAAGTGTTTTATTTTAAACATTGTAATGCAACCTGAGAATCATGAAGATTCATCCTGGATAGGTGTTGACTCTATAGAAACTACTGCAAAAATGATGAGAGACTTCAACCCCATTAATAACTCCAGTCATTTGGGCCACATTTCAAGGAATATATACATACATGTATATACATATACATGTATGTATATACATACATACATGTATGCACGAACAGCCAATTCTCCCATTTAGTTACTTTATATTAAATTCAGTCACTACATATACTGAATTGCTTTTTTTCTTTTCATTTGATATCTAGTACTAAAGCACAGTGCCTGTTGCAATGACAGACCAGCCATGGGAAGTCAGTGTAGGCACAGCTGCTTCCACAGAGATGAGGAATAGAGGAGTCAGTTTCAGGGAAGAGATTAGTCATCAGGTGAACAATGGTGATCTCTTTGTTCTGCCTAGAGTCTCAAGAATTGCTCTTTATACCATACATGACATTAAATAAATATCAAATATTTGCTTGCCCTGACTTTTCTTACTAGTGAGTAGTTTATGACAAGACCAGCAGGGGACCCTGTGATTTAAAGGTTCAGGTGCATTTCTTTGGTACATGGACCTGAGAGAGCCATGGTAGCCAACCCATGGCTCTTCTCAGGGCTGTGACTGCTGAATTTGTAGAACAGAGAGAAAGAACTTAGCATGACCTCCAAGGACCTTTCAGGTATACAGAGGGTTTTGTGGGCTGTTCAAACAGTTTAGGAAACATAAGCAAGACATCTGCTGGCACTGAGACAGCAGCAACTGCCAGGTTCTCTTTGAATTACAGGAATGGAATGTCTGATTGATTGCATACAATTGAGTTCTAACAGAACCAGTTTGTTCAGTCAATTTTTCTTTAAAATTGGATGTGTAGTTTACTAGACAAGAAATTCTGAACAAAAGGCTTGCAAGATTTCTGAGTTGTAATAAACCACAACACCTAAAGCTTTTAGATTCCTAAGAGACAGCTTCCTTCATAATTTTGAATGTGTATCTGTTTAAAATAAATTAGTTAAAATGTCATAAATTCAACAATCTAATATGTATATTATAGACTTTTATGAATGAAATTTAGGCTATTTTTGAATCAGCTACGAGCCATCATCGCAGATTCAATGGTTTGTTAGTGTTATACTTTAAGCAACTGTGATACTTTTATGTTGGGTCACATTTAGTAGATCTCTTTGTCTCTGTTTCTCTCTCACCCACACACACAAACATATGTGTTCTCTCTCTCTCTCTCTCTCTCTCTCTCTCTCTCTCTCTCTCTCTCTCTCTCT